AGATAATTTTGGTAGATAAAAAATTTTTGTTTTATTTACTAACAACACAAAAATAATAATTCTCGTTACAACAAAAAATTGTAAAATCATTACCTACACTAAAATTTAACCAAAAATTTCTTGAAAATTTCTACAATAAACCAAAATTCAATCATTGTGAAAACATGTTTCAAGAACAATTTTTTGAACAAAATCACATAGAATATCTGGACCATTTCGATATAATTCGTTTTCAAAAAAGAATGATTTAATTAATAAAATCAATATAGCTATAACTACAAAGTTTCTCAATGGTATCGTCACTAGAATCCGATCCAGTATCTAACAAACTGCCTTTTTTTTGAATTATTTCTTTTAATATTTCCCCTACTTCAAAATTAAATTGATTACCATTAAACTGCAGTGAGGTTAAGGTTGTATTCATGTGAAGAGAATTTATTATTGCTTTGCCCATGTCGTTACCAAGAACATTATATGAAAGATCTAAAGAAGTTAAAGTATAGTTTTTGCGAAGAGCATCTGCCAGTGCTAGTCAGCCCCAAGCCCAAGTTGGTTAAGGTAAAGATCTAAAGTAGTTAGGTATTATTTTTGCAAAGGGCATTTGCCAATGCTTTTCCTTCATCGTATCCAAGCTGATTGGATGAAAGATTTAAATAAATTAAACTGTAGTTTTGGAAAAGAGCATCTGCTATTGCTTTCCCCCATAAGAACCAAGATTGTTATTTGAAAGGACTAAAGAAGTTAAAGTGCCGTTCTTGCAAAGAGCGTCTGCTAGCGTTTTTCCAATATTGGGACCAAACTTATTATTGAAAAGGACTAAAGTAGTTAATGTATTGTTTTTGCAAAGAGCATCTGCTAACGCATTTCCTTCTAACAAACCAAGGTTATTATTTGAAAGATCTAAAAAAGTTAAAGTGTTGTTTTTGTAAAGGGTATTTGCTAATGCTTCTCCGCTCTCACATCCAAGTTGGTAACGGTAAAGGTCTAAAGTAGTTAATGTATTGTTTGTGCAAAGAGCGTTTGCTAATAAGTTTCCTACATCAGAGCCAAGATGATTATATGAAAGATTCAAATAAATTAAACTGTTGTTTTTGAAAAGAGCATTCGATATTGCTTTCTTTCAAAAGAGCCAAGTTTATTATTTAAAAGACTTAAAGTATTAAGCTTCTCACTTTTTTGTAGAAACATTAAAATCAAAGAATGTTTAACAGCTATTACGAGATAATTTTTTCATGTCCTTTAAGGAAATTTATCACTCCTCTGCTCAAATGCTGACCATCGATAGATTTAATAAAACTTGTATATCCAAATAATGGTGTCAGATTATTTTCTGGAAAGTTGATTTTAAACGGAACTAATAGTGCTTGTTCATCAGCATTTAGCTCTAGAAGACAGATTTCAATGATTTTAACTTTAAAAAACCATGGTGCTCTCCATAATATCAATACAATAATTCTACACCAGTAACGGTTTACAAGAAAGCATAAAAATAAGGTTTTGTAATTACTATTTAGGTATTCAAATATTTCAAAAAAAATTTCATTCGATAAACATGTGATAGGACCGACAAGAGAATATATTTTTTATAGAAAAATATTTCAATTAAAGGTTAAGAATCTTTCAAGAGAATTTACTCGTTGATTTTTTCAATATAATTCTAAAGTTTGGTTTTCTCATTATTTAAAAAGGTTTACACGTAATCTTAAAATGAATACATTTTTGATATATAAATTATCAGTGAACAAATATATACTGCATAATTTATTTAATATATTACATAACTTTTAATACAGTATCGATATAAAACACATGCATTTGATAATACTATTGTTATTAGTTGTTAGTTTTTGATAATCTATACGAATAATAGTGATACAATAAACTTGTTGTTATTTAATTAAAATATAACAGTATATAAATAGAGTTCTAGTGTATATATTTAAATTTTTTAGATTGATCAAAAAGCAGGTTGATAACCAGTTAGTTTTTATATAAAATAACCATTTAGTTATATATATGATAACTCCAGAAGTAGCCAAAAAACAAAGGCTTCCGAAAGTTATGTAAACCATGTTCAAATAATGTTGAACAGGCTTGTTTAGGTTATTTACATTCGCAAAGGCACCAGAAACTCGACTAAGATTTTGTAAATTCATTATTTCCTTATTAAAGTATGTTTATACCAAATTTATTTTTTTAAATCATATCAATATAAAATTATTACTTAAAAATTATTATTTAATTACTTTAGAAAAGTTATATTTCACCTTTAGTAAGTCTCCGGTTAATGCGTATTATCGCCATCGAGATATATTACACTAGAACATTACATTACTATTTGTTATTTGTATGTTTAATTTCTTTAATAATACTATTATTTCTAAAATTTTCAGCTTCTGATATATTTAGATTTGTATTTTTAGGCATTAGCCTTCTGCTAGAACTTTCAGTTGAACCTTTGATTGAAATAATTTTTTTCTCAGATGACCTGTAAAATCTATTTTGTTGTTTTATTTGGTTTGATTTAATATTATACTAACTACTTTTAGTAATTTTATAGCCACAGAGATGTGATTAATGTCTGCCAATTGAATTTTTTAATCTTTTGCTTTTCTCTAATACCCGATAAATGTTCAATTTTTGTTCTATTTTGTTCTATAACTTGTTCACATTTTAATTCTGACACTATTAATCTTATAAACTCTCATCACATGTTTTAAACTGGTAAAAATGTTTTTTATACCATCTCTACATACGTAGGATTATTTCATTCATGTGATTTCTGAGGTCAATTGCTTTTAGCTCATTAACGCTAATATGAAAGATATGGTTTAAATGTAACCATTTAAAATTTTAAACTGCTTTGACCAGAAAAATATTTTTTTTATATTTCAGATCAAGAAATCTTATTATAAACAATATAAAAATTCGTATTTCAATTATTTTATAATAGAAATAAATGACCAATCAGATCAAACTTTACCTATACCACTTAAATATTTACTGTATTATATTTATATCCTTAAATAAACCTTTTATTAAGCCTTCCAAGCATTACTACCAATAAAAGATATTTTAATTTTAAGTTTAATTCTGGTTTTATATAATAGAAATTACATGATTTTTATAAAATTTACTTAATCAATACATATTTATAACCCAGTTTTTAAAAGATCTCGATTTCAAGAATGAAAACTGGATCACATATATTATGCATATTAAAGATAACAAATAATGATAATAAAACACAATAACCGACAATAAATATTTTATTATTTTATGCAAATCTGACATTAATATAAAAAAGTACTTTAATTAAAGTTCAGCATCCCAAAAAATATTGCTATAACTAAGTAATCAGAAGCTTTAAAAAATTAGTTATACAATTGATTGCATCTTTTTTTGCAATTGGTAATCACATAGTCATATGGTGCCATTTGTATACCAACCAGGTATTTAAAGCATAACCTTAAACATTAAATAGTAATGAAAATAACTCGTGAAAGTAAACTCAGAAAATATTCTTATAAACTTCGTTCAGGACAATGTGATATCGTACAATTTACAATCCAGTATCTAGAAGATACTGTAAAACTTCTTAATTGTAAACTTAAATGGAACGAGATATCTAAATGTGATTATAATTCTCGTATTATTGAAATTGAAAAGCTTCAAACCGAAATCAATGATTTAATGATTCTGGCCAAAAACTTACAAGACGAAGTTAATTCTTTAAAAGAAAAAAAACAGAAAATTGAGACAAAAAAATAGTAAATTTCATGATACATTAAGCGGTCTTTGCAATAATTTCAGTTTAATCCAAATTAACAATAGAAATGAAAATGGCAAACAAATTCAAGTAAAGAATCAAGAAGTGATAAACTTACACAGAAGAATTAGAGAAATACTTGAAGAATATAGACAAAAATATAAGCGAGACTCCAGTAAGTAACAATAGCTGTTTATATTACAGAGAATATAATTATTTACTAAGATTTTTTTATTCAATGAAAGATACTATTGAAGCTGGACCCTCAAAAATTACCGAAATTATTAAGATGGAGATCATTGAAAAGAAAAATAGAAAGGCTTTGAGATTAAAAAAATTTTAATTAAAATTGTTTTTCATTTAAATCTAAAAAACATATTCACTTTATCACAAGCAGACAAAAATACTTACAAATTTATAATATCTCATATTTATAATAATCAAAATTTCTGGTGAACATATTATAATTACAATTTCCCAAATAATTTGACAAAAGCAGAATTTTATTTTTTAAAAAATATGTATAAAACATGCCAATATTGTGGTGATTTTTTTAATGATCTGGTGAAAATCTTCGAATTAAGAATCAAAATTTGTAGACAATGTATTTTTTCTGCTTTTATTAGGTATGATATAAAATTTAATTTAATTTCTTTTTTTTAATATTTTAAAATTTAATTTAATTTCATTATTGAATTGATAAAATTTTTAGTCGCCAAAAGCTCAAAAAAAATTTTTTTAAAGATCTTGAGAAAAATGATCCAATAAAGAATTTGTTTATAGCGATTCATTTGGTTGATTGTTATCAGCTAACGGGTATTATATAGACACTTCTATCCATTACAGTGATCTTTTATCTTATTTATTATTTTCCTACGTAAAGACATCGACTCTGCTCTTTCAGAATATAACATGTTACCAAAAAGTTTGCAATCTGATTGGATAGAAAAGAAATCAAATTTTATTCAAGAATATCAAACCAGAATTTTGAAAATGAAACATCCTTCAATTACCAATGAAAACATTCAAGTTGTTTTAGAAAATACTACATTTTATTTTCAAGATAATTATAACCTTCAAGATAATTTATATTATATTAAAAATAACCTTAATTTAGTTTATATTGAAAATTAA